GCTGAACACGACCACCCTGCCAGGAACCTCCCTACAGGAGGGTACGCAGGGCAGCTACCAGCGGGCTCCACGAGAAGAGAATAATTACAAGCTGTAATTAATGCAGGCTGTATTTCCCCGCATACTGTTGAAAACTGGTTTGAGACAGAAGTTTAAGAAAAGGCACTAGTATAAGCAAACACGCTGCTCACAACGGTTCCTTTTTTCTTCTCAGAAAGCAAAGATGACGCTGGCGCCGTAAAGCAGTGTATTAAAAGATTCTGCCACAAAGGGCTGAGCCTGCGCTGTCAGAACTGCTTCCCAATACAGCACAAGAAGTGCTTTTCCTAGACTGCCACTAACAGGAGCTGTGCGACCGGCAGCATACGTTCCTGCTTATCGCTCCAGCACGCAGGGGACTCTCAGGAATTCTCCTGACAGAGCCAGACAGTTGATGCAAGGTAAATGGAGGGTTCCCGCGCACCCAGGACTAGAGACATCCAGATGCCTCTGTAACATCTCACCTCTGTGTCGGGCTGCCATCTCTCTGAAGCCTTCTGTTGTTTCAGCTTTGCCCACACTGTAAATACAAAGTCGTACAGGATCTGATGCCATTTCCCTTGCAAAACTAGTTTTTAATCTAGTAAAATATACACACAAGGTTGTTTTTTTTTTTCTTTCTTTTAAAACACCATCACTTCAGTAGTATCCAGGAACATACCTAATATCCATTACAAATGCATCATTCCCCAGTACGGTTTACTGAAAGGCACAAGAACTAAAGCAAACAAGGCTTTAAAGGGATCACTCAGGATGGGACACAAGAGGCAAAGGTCCAAAAACACTACTTCAGAGATACAGCTCCAAAGGCAATAACAGCTTGTTTGGGAAATCAAGGCTTTACCTGTTTGGTCTCTTCTAGGCAAGAACTAATTTCCCTCCAGGAACCATAACCTGTATCTGTTAACCTCAGTGGGGCAGATTCAAGAACCACCCTCCGCATGAGGCAGCCTCCTCAGAACATCAGCACAGATGAGCCGCATTCAGTTATAATCACTGTAAGTCCTAAGTACCGTAGGCTTTCAAAATCTGCCTGTAGGCTCTACCATTTCTGAAGGTTTTTCTGGCTTCCCCACGAAGATGTTGACGAAGATCAATTAAGTAAGAGTTACACGGGATGATGTAGCCACACTCTGCCTAAAGAAGCGGTGGCCCATTGCACTTGGCTGAGATTTCACACACAAAGCATCACAGCCAAAACAGCCGGCAACAAACGAACACTTCGCTGGCAATCCCAGCAAGCATCTATGCCTGCAGGTATCCAACAAACAAAAAAAAACCACTCTCCTTTTAAGAGCTGGGAGGGATGGTCCAAGGAAGGATCATCCCGCTTGCACCATGTTTCTCACCCTCTGTCCCAAAACCAGTCTCTGGTCACAGGCTAAGACAAATTTTTGGTGAGAGCTAACACGAGCGTTCTTACGCCACACGTTCCCTGTTCTGCCATCACTACTTACACGAGACTGCATCCTCAATCTGCGTGACGTTGGCAAAATGCGCCGTGTTGGGAATGCCCAGGCATCTCATCCCGTGAGCGTGCCGCCACTCCTGGGGAGAAGAGGCAAGAGGTCAGTGGGTGAGAGGGAATGCCACTTCATCCGCAATGCAAAAGGCTGAAAGACATATTAACATCCAGACAGGGTGAAACAAATACTATCAAAATAGAAATCTACCGGTCCGAAAAACCTCTATATAAATGTTTTTTCTGTATTTTAGACAGTAACAATACACTGGCAGTCAATGGGCACTCTGCACCAGTCAGACCTGGATACTGTTCCAACAAGAAGGGACTGTACAGAAATGTGCAGAAGAGATCTTAGCGTGCCCTCGATAATTTATAGTTCCCATCGCATGGCCCTGCAGCATCAGCCCAGACCCGCATTGTAGAAGTGGAAGAAGTGCCGCTCGGGCACTCCAGTGATTTACTAGTTACTTCCTAAAAAGATTACCTGAACATAGTACCGATGTTTTTGTAGCGAAACGTTACTTACTGCAAAGTGACGCTGAAAAGCTTTCGGCCCTCGGTAGGTGTAGTTACCGCAAATCTCACAATTGTAGTTGATGTTTAAACCATGTAATTTATATAACCAGTATGGGATTGGCTGGCAAGCAAAGAGAAACAAAGATCAGGCCAAATGGCAAGGCAGGTTCAAACAGAAGAGTAGTGCGACGTCAGTGACATCTCCTGCTTTTCCAGGCCTGACAATCTCAGTTACCTTGCCATCCCAGCCAAGAGGCAGATTTTTAGGATTATAAATGATTTCGTTTTCTTCATCTTCACTCTCACTCTCACTGATCTGCTCTTCCTCCTCCTCCTCCCTCTCTTCCCCTGTCCGTGCTTGCTTACGCTGCACGTTCTCGTGAGTGAGGTGTCTCTGTTCCTAGAGCGTGAGAAAAGAGAAGGAATTGTTCACACAACATGACAGCAACAAAATAAGGGCAAACCCTCGCACTGTGAAACACTTCCTCAATGTACAGAGGGAGGGGAATGGAAGAGGCAGTACAAAACAGAGAACTCTCATTTTATTTAGCCCAACCACTTAAGTTTTTAATATAACACTTCCTACTTCCAAAGAATGAAAAACTTGTACTACTATTAGCACTTCCGAGATGACAAGCTAACAGCAACAGCCACCTTGCTAAAAGCAATCGCCCCAAACTGAAGCAAGGACTTCAGGTGAGCATCGTGGCAGAACAGGTAAAGGTTTGCAGTACCCTGCGACTTAGGCATAAAACAGAAATTATCTACATTGATGTGGTGCTTAGAAGAGAAGAGAGAAAAACAAGACAGGCTTCCCCAAGGGAACATGTGGCCTCTGTGTCTGGGTCTGTTCACAAAAGCCTGCCAAATAATTAGCTAATGGAAACATAAACGTAATCCATCACATTCTACTTACTGACAGAAAAAGCTGTCTGCTAACACGCACTTTAAAAGGTTACGACTTTGGACATGAAAATAGCTCTTCTGGGCCTGCTGTCTATGAAAGCACTGGGTAAAGGTGTGGATGACCTTCCAGTCACTATCTGACAGCTCTGAAATAAAAAGCTCAAAAGACAAAATAAAATCCTTACCCCAAGAACTTCTACATACTCATAAATCTGAGCTTCCAGGAATGCAAGATCTTTGTTTCTTTCAGTGTCTCTGGAAATAGATACAGAAACTTTATGAAGTCCATTCCAGAACTGCAAACATCGTGTGTACGCTGAACTAAAGACACATTTGACTTGTAAGCAGCGACAAAACAGAAACAAGCACCAAACGGCTTGTGTAAACTAAAGTGCACACAAACCATTCAGCTCTGGTATCTTCCATTTGGTTCAGGACTATTTGGTCCAACATGAAAAGCTTCTAATACTCCAACAGCCTCTCTGTCACGACTATACCAGAGTGATGTCTACAGACCACTTATTCAAGTGAAGAGAACACCACCAACCTGAGAACGACCTCTAGGAACTCACCTTTTGCTTCCTTTCGTCTTTGGATTCTTAGCAAACAAGGAAGGATCGAGTGCTTCTAGGGATTTGCCTTTAGTGCTGAAGAGTCTCTGGGCACGGAGACGAGTCCAAACCACAGTTTTACATTTCCCGAGAACTATTTGAATTCATGCAACAAAATTCCAAATTTAGCTTTTAAGAGATCACGAGATTTCCTATTATCTCTGTCTTCATTCCTTAAGCTAAAATTCTTCTCTACAAGAGACTTCAGAACAGGACACTTTTCAAAACAGCAGATCACAGTATCCCCTGATTGGTTTTCAACGTTTTGTCTTTCAAACATCATTAAAGTAATTCTTGTACAATGGAGACGACAAAATAAGTATCCCATAAAGGAATGCAAGACAGGAAGACCTCAAAAACTGAAAAGGAACTGTGAAAAGACTGCACCTTACCCGCCACATTTTAGTCCCAGGGCCAGTAAAGCTGATTTTAATCTGTCCAGTCCCAGGGAGGCCAATTCCTGTTCAATTAAAGTAAATCACAGTAAGAGAGAAGCTATTCATCAAATACAATGTGGATGTATGTCCACTTTAACTCATTAAAAAAGAAAAACAACCCTGAACAACGAATAGCACTCAAGAAAGGTCTGTCAAGGGCGCACCACTCCTCACTGAAAAATGAGGAATGTGACAAATCTAAAACCAGATCTTTCAAGTTACATCCCTCTAATGGGAAAAATTAAGTCATCGACATAACCAAAGTTTTATTCAGAGAGCCCAGAGCCAGAGGTGAAAGCGCAGCAAGTAAAATTATGAAAAGAACCAAAATGACCAAGCTTCCACCTACTCAAAATTTAGCACTAAGTGCAGAGCACTGAAAACATACCTCCCAAGAGGAAAATGCCGAGAGATCCAGGTGGGCTCCAGCATGAGTGAGGGCACTGCTGGTCTCTTTCTGCAAAAAAAAAAAAAAACCCACATGCAAGATCTCTGTGACATCCTGCAACACTTCATGCAATATAATATTCTAACCTCAGGAAAAGCAGTTTATGTCACATGGAAAAATTCTCTCACTAAACTGAGCAATGGAACAATAGAAAAGATATAAAATAAGCAAACCTTAAAAAAGGTTTGTTTCAAACCGGTTACGTTGGTTTTCAAATTCAAGTTAGTATTAAATTGCATCTTTGAAAAATAAAAAATAAAATCTAAAATTAAATTTTAAAAATAAAATTTAAAAATAAAATAAATTTGCAACAACACACCTCGCTATTAGACTTAACCTCAGTCATTACTTTACACACGATTCACAGAAAACCTATCACAAATACAGAAGCATTCACACGGGCTTAACAACTGCTCACCGGCCAGCCAGGGAACGTGCCGTTTTCCCACTTCTTCTCAAACTCAGTCTGAATTTTCCCAAAAAGTTCATTCTGGTCCAGTAACGGTTTCACTCGATCTGTGTAATCCTGTAGGTACTCAAGAAGCATTTCAAGGTACCTGGCAGAGTAAGCACGAGCACAGGTAATTCAATACCAACCTCTAACGTATTTCTCCAACCACATCTTTGGAAAGTAATTACCCTCTAGTACTCCAAAGGCAAGTCGTCAAGATTACGACAGCTTTCAACACACGATTTCTAGATGCAGCAGTTACAAGGATAAAGCAAGGTCCTTCCACAGAGTAGAAAGTGGCTTTCCACACTTTTGCTGCGCTGCGTGTTTTCTCAGGGCTCAGACACACGACTGAGTTACTGCAGCTCAGTCACCCAATTTACATCAGTTAAGTTTGACTGGTAATTATATTCTTAGCAGCTGTACTCTTAAGAAGCAAAATCCTTCTCATCAGCTGTCATAGAAGAAGCAGGTAGGCAAAAAAGCTCACCTCTTATACTCAGCATTTTTTCTCTCCTTGGGAATATCGAAGAGTTGGTCAAATGTGGATAAGTAAGTGATATAATCCAATTTCTAAGAACAAAAAAGTTTGAGTCAGACTTGACACACATGCAGCCAAATTAACATCCAGTTTCCAGTTACCAGACCAGAAGAAAAGCACTAGCTCATGCCATTCTTCTGTACTGCAGAGGCCCGGGGCGCTCTGTGCGCTAACATGTTGCCTTAGTCACTTGGCAGCAGAAAACAGAGGCTTTTTACAAGGCGATCGTTACGTTAACGATAGAGAGATATCAACTGAAGAGAACAGAAGAGGAGAGTTGTGAAGCAGAATTCAGATGCTGTCAAGCTGTATGTGCAAAGTCCCTTTGAAATAGCTATTTGGAAATACAACTTATTTACATAAGGAAAAAAAACCCAACAAATAACCATGACCAAACTGCTGAAGTAGCCCAGACACGTGCAGCCACTTACCTCTGATGATTTGAGATTAATGTACTTGAGATAACAATCATGCAGATCTAAATATCGTCCATACCCTTCCTCATCTGTGAACTCCACCAGATCTGGAGCAAAGATCATGAAGAGCTTTATTATAAGCTTAATCTTCCCTACTTATTATACTTTGTTATTATTATTTATTATACTTTAGAACTTGAAAAGGATTAACTGCGGACTAATTTACGGTTAAGGAAGATGTTTACAATGCAAGCGGGATACTCATTGATGAGACACCTGACCGCTTCTCTGTGTAAGCACACAAGAACATTCCTCAAGAGCGGCACCGCTACTGTGAAATGTGCCGGGGGCTGCAGTTCAGAAGAATTTAAATGACAAAAGAACAATTTTCAGAAGTCATTTAGTAAAAGGGAGGTGGAACTCTGAAACACGCAAAACAGATCAAACAACTCACTAAATAACGCCTCTCAAGCAAGCACCATATTTTCACTTAAACTGGCCTCCGAGAAAAACTACAAACTTACTTTGAGCTTCTTCACTCGGGTTGTCTCTGGCCTTCAACAGTTCCTCAAACTCCACTGACATCGGAACACAGATCTTCAAGAACATACAGAAAAAAATGATTACTTCAGCTAATGTCCCAGAATAATTAATATAAAATCACAACAGGTCGCAAACAATAAAACTGCTAACTGAAAAGGTATCCAGAGCATTTCTTCACCGTTACTTTTGCACAAAGAAAAAAAGTCTGACTTTAGCCAGCACGAGAAAGGCAGAGCCAAACGCCAGCTCAGCGGCAGAACGTTCCTTTGCTAACGCACAGCAAGCAGAGAACGCAGTTAGCATCTTGCATCTTCTCCTGTTCGTATCGCTCTCACAGGAGCTTACACGAGGCCTCTGAAGCACCACCTAGCCTCGAACATCTTTTCTCAAGTGATGTTTTAGCGTACTTAATACTCGTATGTTAAGGCAATGAAACTGGGGGAAAAAAAAGTCTGTTTATTGTAGGAATGAGGTCCAACAGACCACGAATCACCTATTCTTATGAAGTAGATAACTACTCACCTCATTTGGGTGCTTCCGGTGAAATTCCTTAATTTGTTTCAGTCTGTTGTAAAATTCTGCAAATTCATTTGGCCCTGAAATGGCACTGAGTTCTTCTTTCCGTAAGCTATGAGTTCGTGAAGAAGGACAAGTTACAAGTGGAAAGGAAAACACATTGACACTGATACAATCTGTTTCCAGGTCTAGTGCTGCATTTCGATCCCCCAAAGCTCCAGTAAGACCGACTGCAAACCTCTGGAAGCCACATCAGATCCCAGTCTCCACTTACAAACCTCCAAGGCAACTCACGGCCTCCCCCCACGACTTAAACCAAGACAATAACACAATGCGTACAGCCAGCCTGTATACATTCAGTGCGCCATCTGGGTCCTGCTCGAGCACATTTAGTCTCCAAAACTCGATTCCTGGTCTCACAGACCAGCGTTACTCCCCAGATATTTACAATTGACTTAAAAGAGCCCCCACGTTCTCCATCCGCAAAACACATTCAGCAGCCGTTCAGGCGCACGCGCGCCAGACGAGGTGTTTGTACAAGCACTCACCCGTCCTTGTCGTCATACAAGTCTCTCAGGTTGCCGCTCACTTCCATGTACCTCTAAAAAACACAAGAAAGCCCCAAGTGCCGCGGGGGACGTTACCGGGGACGAGACCCGCCCGCTCCCGGGCGCTCCGGCCGCGCTA